AGTGTTATTTCTATCTTTTGTATTTAGTGTTTTTGCTATTGTTTGGTTATGCGTATTAAAGTCCTAGTGTTGTATTTCTTGTTTTTAAGAACGTTGTTGCGAATGCACTTTTGCTCATATTTTTTTACATGTACGTTTGTGCATGTCCATTTGAGCGAGTGTGTTTGTGCATGTTTGTTGATTTGTATTAATGTCCTAGGATTGTAGTTTGTGTTTTCGTGATCCTTTTTGCGAATGTACTTTTGCGTGAGTACTTTTGTGCATGCTTTTGTACTTTTACTTGTGTGCGTATATTTTGTAGCGTGTGTTTTTGTGCACGTTTCTTGATGCGCATTTGTGTTCTCGTACTGTAGCACGTATTTTCTTGATCGCTTTTGGAATCTAATTTTGACCATGTTCGAGTCCGAATTTGGAAATTTGACATTAGACAGGAATTGTAGCCAGCTAAAATAGCTTTCTAATGCCGCCGGAACAAGTTGATTTGGAGTCCGGATGAGAAAGTTATGCTCGACTTCGTGGACACTACCGAAGATGTTGAGGGATCCTCTCTTCTAATTTGATTTTATTTTCCTAATTGTAACTCTTTTCGTACTCTTTGATCATTTTTGCTTCATGGACACCTAATTATCAATTTGTACATATAAGATACTAAATCCACCAATTAATACAAAAATATATATTAATCAATAAAAAAATCCACATAAACGTAAACGTTGAGTGTTATTTCTACACTCCACTGTATCTTTTGTATTTAGTGTTTTTGGTATTGTTTGGTTATGCGTATTAAAGTCCTAGTGTTGTATTTCGTGTTTTTAAGAACGTTGTTGCGAATGTACTTTTGCGCATATTTTTTTACATGTACGTTTGTGCATGTCCATTTGAGCGAGTGTGTTTGTGCATGTTTGTTGATTTGTATTAATGTCATAGGATTGTAGTTTGTGTTTTCGTGATCCTTTTTGCGAATGCACTTTTGCGTGAGTACTTCTGTGCATGCTTTTGTACTTTTACTTACGTGCGTATCTTTTGTAGCGAGTGTTTTAGTGCGCGTTTTTTGATGCGCATTCGTGTCCTCGAACTGTAGCACGTATTTTCATGATCACTTTTTGCATCCAATTTTGACCATGTTCGAGTCCGAATTTGGAAATTTGATATTAGATAGGAATTGTAGCCAGCTAAAATAGGTTTCTAATGCCGCCGGAACCAGTTGATTTGGAGTCCGGATGAGAAAGATGCTCGACTTCGTGGACACTACCGAAGATGTTGAGGGATCCTCTCTTCTAATTTGATTTTATTTTCCTAATTGCAACTCTTTTCGTACTCTTTGATCATTTTTGCTTCATGGACACCTAATTATCAATTTGACCTATAAGAAGATACGACCACCAGGTAAACCAAAATTATGTATTAATCCATAAAAAAATCCACGTAAATGTGGACGTTGAGTGTTATTTCTAC